TGGACATGGCTAGTAACATCTTAGTATTGACATAAGAATTCAATTTCCTTCAAACTATTATTCTAAAATGGAATACAATGTATACCACATAATTCTCATCATACTAAAATGAAGTATATCGATCTCGGCTGATTGTAAATAAAAGTTCACTAATACCAACTATTTCAGATACAGCAAGAAAATCGCTTACTATTATCGTCATCCTCATCACTTCCATTCTCGAAATCATCAGAAAACGACAGTCGTGAATTCCCCCTTATTTTCCTTTTCCTCCGCTTCTGCAATTGGAGTTCCTCTTCCCTGAAAATAGAGAAAAAACCAATGAATGGAAGGCGGCCGAAATTTTTCCAATAGAAGATGAACAAGAGACAGAACAACTTACTCTTGTTGTAGCTTTTGAAGTTTCTCCTTCTCCTCCTCTTCAATTTTGTTTCGAATATTCACTCTCTACAGTTGTATCAACAAGAACAAACGGTTTATAACTTTATTACGCGCCATATGCTTCTGTTAGCGGTATAAGGAAAAGTTCTTGTATCATATTTTCTAACTTTACCTTCTCAACATACTCTTCTCTCGTCACCAAACCAACAGTTTCCTTCTTGAACGCTGTCTCGAGTATCTGAATTACCAAGAACAGTAATTAAAAATTCCAGACAAGCTTTCTAACCGAGATCGTGCGATGTCCAAATTCGAAAAGATGTATGGTGGATTCAAAAATCGAAAAACTATACTCCAGTTCCTCATGTTTCCGCTCGCCTATCCTCAAAAAACCTAACTGCAGGTCCACAGACTAAAGAACTAGAGATAGTTCTGAAACAAATCCTAATGTTGAAAGTAGCCCTAAAGATGGAAATCAAAAAAGAACCTCGGAGGTACTGGAGCCAAATTGAAGGAGACCGGGCTGTCCTTTGGCGGAGGCAGTCTTGGCCTTCAGCTCCTGGATTTTCCGGCGCTCGGCTTCTCTTTGCTTCTCGAGTCTGCGAATCCTGACGGCGTCTTGGGCAGTGCCCACGTACCCATCTCCCATGCCCGACATTTTTTCCCGACCTACCAACCGTCGTGGCCGGTGTGGCCTGCGTTACACCTCCTAGCTAATTGCCGCCTTTCGGAATTGATCGGAGATGGCACTTGGGGTTAAATACCCTACGAGTTTATGACGTTGCCTTAAAAAAAAAAAAAGTATTTTTACCCAAATAAAAATAATAATTATTTTAAAGTTCTTATTTTTTTTTATATATAATATTTATTAAAAAATAGTAAAAAAGCCTAATCAATCAGTATATTTTATCCGATATATATATATATATATATATATATATATATATATAATAAGGTGTAAGGAAGATAGAGAATATATTCCGTGGTTCTGTCCATTTATCTAACAGAAAAAAATGTTCTCCACTTCTTCGTTTTATCTAAACTGAAATCCCTTCCCGGTTTGAAGGGTCTTCGGCTCCGCCATTAAAATTGTCATCTCTAACTATTATCTGTTTGACACATGGTCGATGCATAGATGTCCCATAGCTCCCTTGCTCCCCCGGCATGCATAATATGCCCCATGTGATTGTGCAAATAACAACTGAAGGGTCTTCGGCTCCGCCATTACAATTGTCGATCTCTAACTATTATCCGTTTGACACATGGTCGATGCATAGATGTCCCATAGATCCCTTGCTCCCCCGGCATGCATAATATGCCCCATGTGATTGTGCAAATAACAACTGCATTGATAGCATACAACTTCAATATACAAAATTTACTGCCAATCGCATCTCTTATCGTACATTTTGAGATGATTAGGAAGACATAGACATAATTTTAGCCAAAAATCCTACCGACATAAGATAATAATAATAAAAATATAAATGACAATGAACTCGCATAATAAAAATAGTTTAAAATAGGCATTCACCACAAACATCAAGTCTTGTACAACATGAATGTGACATCACGAGCACGAAGGAGCTGGAGTTAAATTCACTTCTTAGTTCATTATAAGTTTGTTCGATCCTAATTATATCTTAGTTTAAAATTATGTTTTTCTTCTTAATTAACTCATGTGTGACTACTATTTTCAATAATCATCGACACCTATATAGACAACTCAGTAATTTTTAGTGTAAGAACACTTTCTTTTTTCTATCGGATTGTGAGATCCTACATCGGTTGGAAAGGGGAACTAATCATTCGTTAGAAGGGCGTGAAAATCTCTCCTTAACAGATGCATTTTAAAATCGTGAGGCTGACAACAATAAGTAATGGGTCAAAACGAACATTCAAATGGTATAAAAGACATTCACTTAGCGGCGTACCAGCGAAGACTCTGACCCCCAAACGAGGGATTATGAGATCTCAGATTGGTTGGAGAAGGGAATGAAAACATTTATTACAAGGGTGTGGAACCCTCTCCTTGACAAGCACGTTATAAAATCTTTATAGGGAAAACTCGAAAGGAAAAACTTAAAGAAGACAATATCTACTATTGGTGAGCTTGAACTATTACAGAGCTACATACCTTCCGCTGCCATGGATCACCGGTTGAGCAAGTCCACAGGTGAAAGAAAGATCGATAAAAATGTAGGTTGTAATGAAGTTGCAACTTAGGTGGAGTTAAGAACTCCGAGATCTTCCACAGATCAGGTTAGTTGGTCGTGTTCAACAAATGCAATGCAATAGTGGTAACCTCCTCCTGAAGCTTGTCGGTTGGTAATATACTTATTTCCATAAAGGATCCATTGGAAGAGAGTTCTAAAGAAGACGATATCTGCTAGCAGTAAACTTAGGCCGTTACAAATAGTGTCAGAGTCAGACATTGGGCGAAGTGCTAACGAGGACGCTGGGCCCCAAAGGGGGTGGATTGTGAGATCCCATGTTTATTAGAGAGAGGAACGAGTGCCAACAAGGACACTGGATTCCGAAAAGGGGTGGATTGTGAGATCCCACGTTAGTTGGGGAGGAGAACAAAACATTCTTTATAAGTGTGTGGAAATCTCTCCATTCTTAAAAACCTGATAGGACAAGCCCAAAGAGACAATATCTGCTGGAGGTGGGCTTGGGCCGTTACAAATGGTATTAGAGTCAAACATCGGGCAGTGTACCAGTGGGGATACTGAGCCCAGAAGGTGAGTGGATTGTGAGATCCCATGTCGATTGGAAAAGGGCAACGAGTGCCAACGAGGACGCTGGACCCCAAAGGCCTTCACATAACCCAGTGTCCAGCTCTAATACCATTTGTAACGACCCAAGCTCACCGCTAGCAGATATTGTCCTCTTTAGGCTTGCCCGATCCTCTTTGTGCTTTCCTTTTCGGGCTTCTCCTCAAAGTTTTTAAAACACGACTACTAGGAAGAGGTTTCCACACATTTATAAAGAATGTTTCGTTCCACTCTCCAACCGATGTGGAATCTCACAATCTACTCCCTTTCGGGGCCCAGCGTCCTTGCTAACATATTCCCTTCTCCAATCGATGTGGGACCTCCGAATCCACCCTCATTTGGGGTCCAGCGTCTTTGTTGGCACACCGCCTCATGTCCACCCCCCTTCGAGGCTCAAATTCTTCGTTAGCACATCGTCTTATATCTGGCTCTGATACCATTTATAACGGTTCAAGCCCACCGCTAGTAAATATTGTCATTTTTTAGATTTTTCCTTTCCGATTTTTCCTCAAGATTTTTAAAACGCATTTATTGTGGAGAGACTTGTCTTGATCGACCGGGCACATAATTGTCAGTACTGAGAAAAGAATGAAATGAGTTGAAAGCTGAAAGAGATGGTGGGGGAGAGGCCATTAATGGCTGCTATGGTTCAGAAATTTGAAGGTCCTTAATGAAAGGTGGAAAAGCATCCAAATCAAGACTGCCCAATAACTCATATATTACTTACTTTTATGTGCTGCATGTGAAAATCTATCCATATTTCAACTGGTTCACAGGACATTGGTGAAGAAGTAGAACACAGTTGGGGCCCTCTACTTTATGGCCTTCAAATCTTCTTGCTCATAATCTACGCCATTTAACAAGAATGTAATCGGTGTCTTACCCATTCAGCTACGTTAATTTAATATCTCAAGGCAAGAACACTTGTTTGAAATTCGAATTACTCCATAAGCAAGATCGATCATGTCTAGCTTGAATGATTCTAAATATGCAATCTAAACTACTTAAACATTGGCTAAAGGAGAGCACAAATACTCGTTTTACTACATTTACAAAGACCGCTTTACAAGGACAACACGTCCATGGCTTTTATATATGTATGCATGACTTTATATAAATTCAAAATTAAAATCATTGATCGAGACATTCTTGCTCATCAAATATAAATTAATACCAAAAGTTATATTTTATTTTTGTTCATCAAATATTATTTTTACATTTTTAATATAAATTACATTAAAAAATAAAAAATATTCTCAAGAAATGAATAATTTTTTAAAATACATAAAATAAAATAAAAAAAGAAATAAAAGCCAAACATATTATTGAATTTATCTGATGTAATTTCCAATATAAATTATATTAAAAATAGAAATTATCCATTAAAAAAATACTTTGAAATTAATAATATTTAAAAATAGAAAAATAATTGAGTACTCAAATGAAATTTTTTACCGAGGTAAAAATTAAAACAGGTGACAGGAACGAGGATATGACAGACTTCCTTGTCCACGTCCCACCTCAAGAACATCTCTAAGTAAAAATTGTTTTTAGATGGGATTACGATACTACCTGTATTTACATACTCAAAGGCACCCGAACATATTCTCGAGCAATAATATTATTTTAGATTTAAAAGATTATACCTACGGTTTAACTATATTCCTTTTACCCTGTTCAAATTTTCATTATTTATTTTTAAACATTAAGAAAATCTATATTTAAAGAAAATGAAAAAAAAAATATTAATTGATATACAGAAGTTTTTCTGTTGGTATTTGGAGCGTGACAACACGCGCTCTCCACATCCACTGTATTAGCACTCGCAGTCACTCACCTAATCCTGATCGTGAACCACAACTAGCATCATAGAGGCACTGAACAAAAACATCTTCTGTCACTTTTAGCGGCGGAGGAGAGCCGATCGAATCCATACCTAAGCTCGGCCATGGCGGTGGTGTCTACTTCTCTCGCATCTCAGCTCTCAGCTATCAGATTGTCCACTTCCAAGTCCGACATTTCTCAGACTCTGTTTCAGAACGTCCACTCACAAATCCGCCTTGCATCCTCCCGGAAAGGTTCCCGTGGTGTTGTCACCATGGCCGGTTCCGGCAAGGTATTTCACCGTTTTGAGTTAGTTTGTTATTGATTTGCGCGGGAATCGTTTCAGCTACTTGAAGAACTTTTTGATTAGTGTGTCGATCATCATTCTTAACCTAGCTGCAGTTAAACGAACACTACTCTAAGCCCTATTCTCTAGGACGAAGACCTATTCTCTAGGACCAAGACCTATTCTCAAGGCTAATATTTTTAGGCTTGTTAGTTTATCTTTAGGTTCAGAGGCGCCATTTTTTCTGCTGTTGAAAAATCAAGTTTTTTTAGTGAAATATTGTATGTCTTGAGTGATTTTGGTGTTGTGAGTACATTTGTTCCGCTTTCGGCTCACAACACTTTCATCATCCAACAGCGGCTACCGTCTCGCGTTCGTAACTGTGTCTTAACAGTAGGGAAAGAGAATGCGTCGGATATGGAATAAGGAGTTTCTTTGCCTATTTTTCTTGTTCGTAGCCGTTGGTCAATTTGGAATACAAATCTGTTTAAGCTATCAATTTGTCCAGCTTTTTTGTAGATCATACTCGTGAAATGTGATTAGGATTCGTTCAAGATTTAATTGTTACTCGCAACTTTTCGGTTCCATATTTCATGTCTCCCAAGCCCTCCCGCAACTTTTAGTACTGTGGATTATACTTATTGCCACAGCTTTAAATGATTCTTTTTCTTCAAATTGTTGTTTACCCAATCCTTGAATTAACAAGGCCATGGTTTTTACGGGTTTTATTTATTTATTAATACTATTTTAGAAAAATCGGTATTCAATATTCTCTCATTTCCATGTTTTTCTAATTTCTGATTATCACCCTTTGTTGTATTTGCAGTTCTTCGTTGGTGGAAACTGGAAATGTGTAAGTATCTTCATTATCAATAATCTTATAGCTAAAGGATGCGATGGATAGACGATAGTTATATATGTCAGAGGAAAAAAGTTCGAACGTTTGTTGCAAATGGATGCTTTGATTTCTCTTCGAATCATTCTACGTTTCTGTTCTATCCATAATCTCACTCATGTGAAACACAAGTCGTCTTATCACGATCTTTCTAGAACTTACTTTTCTGTTGCAACTTGTGCCAAACATAGAAGAGAATGTAATTGATTTTCATTTATTTTTCTAGTACCATCGTTAATGTCTACTATTAATTGTTACTGAAGCATGTGCAAATCATTTGAAATGGAAGAAGCCTAGAAAAAATATACCATATTCTTGTTTGTATTTATAACTTCATTTTCATAGGCAAAAAGGGTTTAAGTTCAAACCTGGAGAGCACTCAAAGGTTCCGCTACCACTTCTATATAAGATACCACTTTTAAATTATTTTGATTGTAGTTTTAGAAGCTTAGGAGATCAGGAATCCTTTGTTGTTTACGATTTTTAAGCTCTTAGAAGTGTACTGGACACATTGTAGTACCCAAAATGAAGACACTTATCTGCTGCTGGTATGGCTTGGCTGTCGTCCAAGATGATTGAGCTACTAATATTTCCCATCCTCCTTACTTAGTAAATAAAGAAATTAATTATTTTGAATTTGTGACTGACATATATGGATTCTTACCCTGTTTAATTTAATTCCCAGAATGGTACAAAGGAATCAATAACCAAGCTTGTCTCAGATTTGAACAATGTAAAGTTGGAGGATGATGTTGGTAAGTTACGTTTGATGTTGGAGGATGCCCGTTATCACCTTTTAATGTATGTGTTCTTTCATTTAAAAAACAAAAGTTAGGTTTGAGAATACGTTTCCCTCCTCTTGTATTCACTTTACAAATCAATGTATGAAATTCTTGCTAAAAGAAAACAAAGGTTGCATTTCATATGGGCTTGTTTCTGATTTTATTACATGAAGTGTTTTCCACCTTTTTGATTTTTTAAAAATTATTATTATGAATACTTATTCTAAGATCTCTTTCAATTTTATAGTAGGTTGGTATCAAATTATTAATACACCCGAGTTATCGATGAGGATGAATGACATTTTTGTTCTAAATTCTGATAGTCTTTCTCTCTGTTAAGGATATTTAGTAATAAATTATAGTTTACCATATATATTATATTTGATGTCTTATTATAAGGCAAATATCTAATATTTGCCTTATTACCATAGGTATCTTTCCATTTATTACTATTTTCATATACTTGTAATTTATTTGATTATAAATAAGATAACTTTCACACCATTTAGGTGTGGTGGATTAATCAAACATTCTTATGGTATCAGAGCCCTCTCGGTTTAACAACCCTGATCCTTTCTTTTCAATGGCTTTTGAATCCTTTAATCTTCTTCTCCACCACCCCTGCTGGCTTTGACGCCGCAGGGGCAGTCTTCATGGTTGCCGTAGTCGGAGCCGATTGATTACTCTTCGGCTCCACCCTATTGACCTCCAAATCACCTTTCGTCTGCCGTAGTCGGAGCCGATTGATTACTCTTCGGCTCCACCCTATTGACCTCCAAATCACCTTTCGTCATACGTAGTCGGAGCCGATTGATTACTCTTCGGCTCCACCCTATTGACCTCCAAATCACCTTTCGTCATACTCTGTACATACAATCTCACCTTTTCCAACCCAATCGGTTTTCCCCTTGGCCAATATAGTCTCTCTCATTTTCTTCCCAATCAACCTTCATCCACAGAAACCCTAATATATATACGGAATCTCGACAAGCCCATCAATCTTTTGCAGAGATTTGTAAATCTGGGTGCCGCCGCCCTTCCTGCCAAAATTGGCTCCTTCGCCCAATGTGGCGACTCTTTCGGCTTCAACATTGTCTCTGTCCCTTGCTCTAGGTTTCTCCTTCCTTCGCCCAATGTGGCGACTCTTTCGGCTTCAACATTGTCTCTGTCCCTTGCTCTAGGTTTCTCCTTCTTGGGGTTAGACATATTCTCACCAGAGCCAACGCAGCATCGTCGCTAAGCGACAATCCCTCTTCATGGGTTAGACATATTCTCGCCGAAGCTAAGGCAGCATCGCCACTGAGCGGCGATCCCTTTGCAATTTTCGATGGCCAAGAAGTGTTTCTATATGCCTCCTCTGAACCAGGTTGTTGACATCTTCATGAAAAGTGTTTCTCAACCTCATTGAATTTTTCATATTCAAGCTTCACGTTCATTTAAATCCGACGCTTAGCTTGCGGTGGGGTGTTAAGGATATTTAGTAATAAATTATAGTTTACCATATATATTATATTTGATATTTTATTATAAGACAAATATCTAATATTTGCCTTATTACCATAGGTATCTTTCCATTTATTACTATTTTCATATCCTTGTAATTTATTTGATTATAAATCATTTAGGTGTGGTGGATTAATCAAAAATTCTTACTCTCCATATTGAAAGCTGGGTTTTCTCCATAATTCTTGTTCTCTTCACATTCTTATTCTACTCTTCAAGTACATTCTTCTGAAAAAGAGAAATTTGGATATGTTGGGAGGAATGCAGATGTTGTTGTAGCACCTCCATTTCTGTACATTGATCAGGTGAAGAGCTCATTGGCACCTAGGATTGAGATTTCTGCCCAAAACTCATGGGTGAGCAAGGGTGGCGCTTTTACAGGAGAAATCAGGTTATCTGCAATGCCCTTGATGAGACATCTTAGTTTTTGAGAACCCTTAAAAAAAATTCATCTTAATTTAACTATTATTGCTTTAGAAATTTTATTCTAAACATAAAGTTCTCTAAAAAATTCATTTTGGTGCATGCAAACTCTCAATTTTACACCATTTGATAAGGGTGACAGCTCAAGTCTTCTTGTTTTATTATTTGCAAATGAGATGATGATAATGTTCAACACAAGAATACTAATGTTCAATCTGACGATACTTAGAATCTTGAACTGATTTTAGTTGTAATGTTCTGTAAACTTTTCAAATTTTAACCTTAGAGATTTTGATTTTGTAAACTTCCCTTGCTTAAACTTTTCAAAATTCATTTTTTTAAAAACTTTTGGCCTTTTTGAGATAAGATGCCTACTAAACTTGCATTCATCTTTTTATTTTGGAACTCATATTGGGGATCTTGCATGGTGTCTCATGTGTGTTTAGTGTTTTTCCGCTCACAAATATATACTCAGATCTTATCGTTTATAAATTAATTTGTATGTACTGCAGCGTTGAACAATTGAAAGATATAGGCTGCAAGTGGGTTATCCTTGGGCACTCTGAACGGAGACATGTCATTGGTGAAGATGACCAGGTGAATGCTTTGACATTGAGCTTTGAGTGGATTCCAAGAAATTAGTGTTCAGGCTGCTTCTCACCAACGCTAACTGATGTTTTGGCAACTATAGTTTATAGGAAAGAAGGCTGCCTATGCCTTGAGCGAGGGTCTTGGAGTAATAGCTTGCATCGGGGAATTACTAGAGGAAAGGGAAGCTGGGAAAACTTTCGATGTTTGCTTTCAACAATTGAAAGCCTATGCAGGCAAGTTGCTGGCCCATTCCTTATTTCACTTTCACGACAATCTTATAATCACTTATCTGAGAACAGAAAACTGCGGAATTCTCTGTAACTTTAGTAATTCCCGTTGACTGCAGATGCTGTTCCAAGTTGGGATGGTATCGTTATCGCATATGAGCCAGTATGGGCCATTGGGACTGGCAAAGTGGCTACTCCCGACCAAGCACAGGAAGTGCATGCAGCAGTTCGCGATTGGCTTAAGAAGAATGTATCACCAGAAGTGGCTTCTAAAACACGGATTATTTATGGAGGTAACTGCCACTTTCATTGTTCTACTGTCAACTTTCAGCCGCTGTAGAAATAAGTTTGCTTGCCTGAACCTTTATCGTCAAGTCCATGTTTCGTAAGATTGCCACTGTGAATAACAATCAGACTGGGTCACGTGTCTAAGGAATGATATTATTATTGTTAGGATCTGTGAATGGAGGTAATTGTGCTGAGCTTGCTAAAAAAGAGGATATAGATGGATTTCTAGTGGGAGGTGCTTCATTGAAGGTGCATTTCTCCTCTCCCCTTATGTTTTTCTAATGTTTCTGTCAAACCATAGAAGAAAAAATTTCGCGAACCACACTCAAAGTCCCATCTCAATTCTGTTTCATATTGCAATTACAGGGTCCTGAATTCGGAACAATCGTTAATTCCGTTACTGCCAAGAAAGTCGCTGCTTGAAATTTTTTCGGAGTTCCTGGTGTCAAGCACAAGAGGAAGGGTGACCCGTTTTGTTTTCCTAGCAACACTCCTTGGGGTTTTGTTCAGGGCCTTCTTCAATGATGGCAAGAAAATAATATCCTTCTGTTTTATTACTTTGCTATAGAATACTTGACCACATAAATGATTGGATCCAGAATTTATTCGCTTAATAAGAGTTCTAGATGCCATTCTCGATTTTTGAACTTTCATAACATCTCGCTGAAGCTTTCCCTGATTTAAATTTGTCCTTGCTAGCATTTACAATGTATGAATGTAGAGCCTAGGTGGTGTTTAGATGGATAGAAAGACCAACATTCTCGATCGTGTACGGCTGGGTATGCATTCTTTCCTGAGAGATCGAAGGCAAGATTTCTTCAATAGAAGTTACAAATTGGTATCTTATTTGGTAATGTTCCCGTTTTTCATTCTTTATCTAGGTTTTGATCGTTCTATCAGTTTCTAGATTTGATAGAAACTTGAGATATGGCTGAGAAGAAGTTATAAGCACACAGGTCATTTGAGATGCAAGGATCTTATTACTTATTAGGAATGTAAATCTGGTATCAAGAACTTGAGTGTCCAATAGGCATCAGTCCACAGCCCATGTTACCTTAGCTGAGGTAACACTCAAAGGATATATCCCAAAACCAACACAAGCCAATCTGGTCTCCTTCTGTATGTATTTCATGGTAGTGTAGAATTTTCAAGTGAGAGAAAGGAAGAGGTGAAGGGGGGGAGAGAGAGAGAGAGAGAGAGAGAGAGATGGAGTGGTTAGAACCAAAGAGAAGGGGTCCAGTGTGGAAACAGGGATGGACAGGCCAAACCCTAGGCGGCTCTGTTTCTTCTCCACCACCTCAATTGCTCACCATTTTTGGCATTGTCATTGTCTTGCTTTGGTTTTCTCAGTCAACCACAGGCCATCAAACTCAATTGCACAGGTCAGCTGCCAATTTCCAGCTGCTTCTTTTCTTGTTGCCCATCTTGGTGATTTTCTTCATGTCTTCATATTCCATGTGTGGGCTGATCAACCTTCGATCTTGGCGATCGGCAACCGGGTCGCCTCGACGAGGTGCCTCACCATTGACCATTGCCATTTTGGTTCCTCTCGTTCTGGTTTTGCTTTATTTCCAGTCCTCGTTCCATTGAAAGCTGTTTGAACTATGAATAATAATCAGGATTTGCAGGTCAATCTATGGTATGTAATGGCGACTTTTTTAAGTTTATTATAATATGTAGTAAAATGCAGAAAATTTCTTAAAAAGAGTCTACCTTATTATTTTGTTTCTTCATTCTTTATTTTTCTAATAATTATTAATGAAATTATTAGAAAAAAAAAAAAAAAATCAATTTAGACCCTTTTTTTTTTAATTTATTATTTTTTTTATAGAATTAAAATCTCAAAAACCCACGTGAAAAGACGTATAGTTGTATAATTAAACCGAAAAAAAAATGATTTTTTTTTTCTTTCAAATATTTATATGAATAATTTTTGAAGTCTAACGAAAAGAAAACCATTATTTTTATATAAAAAAAAATTGATAATTGGCTTTGCTGGTGGTGCATTAATGGGAAGAAAACTGTGTAGGAACCACTCAAACGTTACCAACATATCCATTATTATCATGCTAATTGGTTCCATCCACCACCCACCTTTTTTCAATTTTATTTTCTTTTTCTCATACCAACTTCTGTTTCTTTGGTTGAATGTGACTGAATTGACTCATTACCAATAAGCTTCAATTTCAAGTTTAGTTCATCCTTCCCTTATTTCTTAAAGCTATTAATTCTTCAAAGACATATAAATATATATTTATTGATGATAAGATACAGGTGAATGAGAGCTTTTGACATCTAGATAAATGTTTTAAATCAGTTTTTTTGATACTCGAATACGAGAGTTGATATGAAAAAACCAACACTATATTAGAATGAAACTGATCTTATTATTATTCATATCAACTAGGTGTAGCATGTTTGATTTAATCAATAACACAGATCAATAAAGTTTGAAAACTAAAGACATAAATGCTACTAAGCCTAATATTTTTCCCTACTTGTGTACATATTAATGAATAGAAATACAATTCAAAGTTCTAAAGTTTATTGGCATAACATCTATAAATGACTAAATTGATAAGTTAACTATTATTTGTTAAAACCAGATTAAATCCAAAAGGTTCAATGTCAATAGTTGATGGATCATCTAGAAATTCGACTGTTATGGTAAAAAAATCAGATTAAGATCCAAAAAAAATCAATGTCAAGAGTTGATGAAACATATAGAAATTTGAATAATTAAAATCCAGAAAGATCAAGCTTAGAGCAAATAACTAAATTAAACTTTCCGCTTCACATGTCATCTAAGAAGAAACACACATCATCATATCGTATACACCTTCAATCCTTACCACACATCAATCGATCATATTCCTTTAACACGATCATTCATATCACAATCTCATTCTCTTCCACAACAAAAAACAGGTATCACATAAACACCGAACTATAATTTACACGACAACGACAAGTATGATGAAACGCATTTTTAATTAAATTAATTTACCACTTACCACGCGCCACGGCCGCACCGACACTGCATCTTCCAGCCGCGATTGCAAGGGCAGGCATAGTACCTGGATGAAGAATCCACAGACGACAAACAGCGAACAAGAACGAGTAAAATAATCGGAACGGCGAGAAGAGGCCAATTGATTTGGAATTCCGAGAAATCGATTGGTTCGGAGGGGAACAGAGAGGACAATCCGATCAAGATGAAGACTACGGCGAGAAGCAGAAGGACAGGTCCAGGGAGTGGACCGGAAGCGCGAGGTTTACAGCCATAGCAATAAGTCATTTCACGACCTTCGTACCGTCAACAATGGCGATTTACAGAGGAGATTGAAGGTCTGAAAATGGAAGAAGACAGAGACTCAAAGCGAGAGAGAGAGAGAGAGAGAGCGCTAACGAACATTTATAGTGGAGACTGATGGCGTGAATGGACGCCTAATGGAATGAATTGCGTCGGCTATTCTCATTTGCTAATTTGTTGGTTTATTTATTTATTAATTTATTTAAAAAATAAAGAGACGAGATTTTTTACTTAAAATAATAATATTATATCATTAGGTCGTATTTTATTTTTTAATTATTAAATTTCCTATTTTAAGGTTAAATAATAAAATTAATCGTTTATTTCTTATGAACTTTCACCTTTGTCCCATTTTTTTTAAAAATTAATTAATCTATTCAATATAAATAAAAATTTTATTTTCAAGGTTTTAATTTTTAATATAGTAGATCCATAAATTAAAAAATAAATAAATTAAAATTTAATGATTAAATTTGTAATTTTAATTCTTTTTTTTATTTTGTTTATATATAATTTCGGTCAAAATTAACATACAAAAATATTGTTTTTGTTTCACATAAATAAACTATAAATGAATAATAATTTGTTAAAAAGATTATTTATTGGAAGTTTCCTTTATTAAGCAAAATTTAAAAGTAATTAAATATTTAATTTACATTATCTTAAATTTAATAATGATTATCTACATAAACCTATTTTTTAAGGCTAAAAACACCCAAATATAATAGATTTAAAAATTTTAATCCGTTAATTTTTACAATTTTAAATATTATTAGTTAAATTAATATTTTTTATTATGAATTATAATTTTTTTTAATTTAATTGGTTATTAATAATTTATGTTCAATTGTTCGAAATAAATTTTATACAAAGTTGAGTATATTAGTTATATTAATCATATGTTGGTTATCAAAATATAAAATTAATTTATAAAATATAAAGTATATTAAATATATAATTAGAAAAATAGGAATCAAAATTAAAAATTTTGGTATATTTGCAAATCTAAAAAAAGAAAAAAAAAAGGGGTCGAACTTAATGGGTCAAATGCTTTGATGACCCGACCCGATAACCCGATTTGGCCAACACCTATTCGCAATTTTTTTTCCCCTCAAATCTCAAAGAGCTGGTAGCGTCGAAGTTCATCGTCCGCGGTTCACCTGTAGATCCCTTCGTCGGTTGGACGACGCAAAAACCTAAACTTCACCGGAAGATCAACCTGCCGCCGCCTTCGGTCAGCCATCTCATGAGGCCGGCAAGAAATCCGATCCACATCGTGTCGGTATGGGTCCAGCGACAGCCGCCGAAGGTGAAGGCCTTTTTGGCCGTCGTGCTTGGCATTGTGGCTCTGATGGCACTTCGATTCATCGTTCATGATCACGACAATCTATTTGTCGGTGCTGAAGCAGTGCACTCCATTGGGATATTGGTTCTCATCTTTAAGCTCACGAAGGAGAGAACATGTGCTGGTAATCCTTGAATTTTAGTGGTAAAATGCCCTTAGCTAATTATTTTCTGGAGATGAATTTATGATTTGTCATTCGAAATGACCAATAAGTGAAATTGTTTGTCGAAATTTGGATCATCATGGATTCGGAATTTATGCCTTTGTCCAATTAAAAGATTAACCTTCATGGGATTTGTTAGGGTGTCTATCGGTTCTCTAATCCTTCATTCATATGATTCTTTTGCACAGGCAGCAATTTATAAGTTCAATTTAGAGTGATGTAATTGTAATTGTAATTTTGTGAACTCTCATGCACAAGTTCTAATCTCGTAGAAATTTAGGCCCCATTTGGTTTTTTTTTTTTTTTGAAAACTAAGCTTATAAACATTTCTTCACCTTTTGATTCCTTTATTTTAATGTCTACATTGTAAGAGCGTTTTCAAAATTCAAGCCAAGTTGTTTTAAAAATTTGGTTAAGAATTCAATTGTTTACTTAGAAAAGATGAACATGATAATTGAGAACTTGTGAGAAAACAAGCACAATTTTCAATAACCTAAAACCAAAAAACTAAATGGTTATCAAATAAGACCTTAGTTTTTTTTTTTGGTTTCCATGTCATTTAAGTTATGTTAGTTTTGGTTTCCCTTGCAAATCACGTTGTTTGGAATCAACTGGGTAATCCTGTTGCTTCTTTGTTCTTATTTATTGCTCTGGATGTTCTCTATAGCGGAACCTATTATGATTTTGCAGGAATATCGCTCAAGTCTCAGGAATTAACAGCTATCTTCTTGGCCGTGAGGTTGTATTGTAGTTTTGTTATGGAGTATGATATACACACGCTATTAGATTTAGCAACACTGGCCACAACCCTCTGGGTGATATATATGATC